GCCGCGGTTTCATAAGGATGTTACTTCATGCAGATGCATAGAGAATAATAATAATATGGTTATAAAAAGATGAACCGTTCCGATAAATAATTCGTTTTGAGTGAACCTGTAAGGCAGTGGTTTTCAATTCGGGTTTCAGGGCACTCTAGGGTTCCGACAATCCAGTTTGGGGGTTCCGCAAGTTTACATTCAAATTTGAGAGTCAATGTTAATATATGTAGATTATTAGATATAGTCAGATACGCATGTATAATAAGTGTATTTCACAAGTGTTCTGTGTTAGATTCAGGTGTTAGCATAAGTATAAGGTTATTTCGACTCCATAATCAGCGATAAAATGATTAATAAAAACAAATGAATAAAAGCTGATTACGAAATCAGGAGTCCGTGTTTAGGATAACAAATACATAATCAATTGAACTGGAGTTACTCGAGCCTCTGGGATGTTTCATTGAGGTTCCGATGCACTAAAATGTTGAAAACAATTCCATAAGACCAGGAACGTAAACTTTGAGAATGTGATATTGAGAACTCCTGTTAAGCTAGAATCAAATATAGTTGGCCGCTTGTTTTCGGCCTTGTTCTAAGCGAGAGGCGCGGGTAAGCGTCGTATTACGTCATAATGTTCATTTACTATTTCAATTTTGTTACGAAGTCAGTTCTCAATATATCTCAACCAGGTTTTTTGTTTTTTGATCAGTATTTGTTCAAGTATTTTTACTTTATTCAATACATCTGTGAGGGCCAGAACAATATATGGTATCGATAAATTCCCTTTGCAATTTTAAAATATTTTAGGACTTATGGACACCCTATATCTCGGATATCCTAACAAATGCTGTTATGAGTGTTGTTATTACGTCGTGTGGGAGAGGGGTCATGAAATAGGTTGCCGCGGTTCACTAAGGATGTTACGTCATGCAGGTATATAGCATAGAAAATACTAATAATAGGGTTATAAAAAGAGAAACCGTTTCGATAAATACCGTAATTCGTTTTGAGTGAACCTGTAAGGCAGTGGTTTTCAACCATGGTTCCGCGGCGGAGTTTCTTTAACCCAGTTCAGGGGTTCCGCAAGTTTACATTCAAATTTTAGAATCAATTTTGTAGAATGTTGTAAATTTCAGAGTCAATTATTTGTAGATTGTGAGACAGATACACGGGTATATTATATATAATCCACTAGAATTCCTGCTAGATCCAGGTGTTCGTGGTCAAATCGATATTTCACATTTATTTATTTTATGATCGCAAACACACCTCATTGCAGGTTCGCCATATTTTGAAGTTTAGTGCAACGATTGTCAATAGGCAGAAATTAATGGTGCGCACACGCTTACAGAAATGTACATTTGGCCCGGCACTACATAAAGTTTGCCGACCACGGCTGTAACGATTTTTAAATTTATGGGTAGAGAAACATAAATGTTGCAAACGAGTTGTTGGGATTTTATGTAAAAGGGTGAATCACCATGCTTGCATTGCAGGTTAGAGGTTCCAGGTTTTAATCTGCTAAAAAGCAGCACATGAATGGTGTATGTTAAAGGACGGTTCTGATAATAGGAGTTCAAGGTGTCAAAATAGAATTGTGTGAATGACCTTGAACATCACTGTATTGAATACAATTTTTCGATTGATAATTCTAAATGATAATTTGACTCCGAAAGTTTTTGAAACTCGGCAGGATAAACAGAAATATTTGATGCATGTAGTAGTAACGCTCTTAGTGTTATTGAAAAATCGATGTGATTATGTAGTGTAGAGCAGTGGTTCTCAACCGCCGGTCCGCGGCAACCTTGCTGCCGGTCCGCCGAATGTATTCCAATATAAATATATTATAAGCAAATTGTAAAATACAGTATTGAAGTATTGACGGCATGCTCATTAATTTTATGATTTTATTTTTACCTCTTATCGATTCGTAGGCTGGGTGTTCGTTAGGTCTATGACCTCATAACGGCGGCTAACGTCATAACGGAGGAGCAACCCTAGTAGGGTTTGGATTTCGGATCAAGTTTTTGAAATCCCGGTACTGAGCCGTATAATCTTGGGATTAAGTAAAAGATTGAAACAACTTGCATGCCAATAAAATCAAGTATTTATTTCATGTAATATCGACACATAAATATGATAGCATCTATGCAGTGAGTCTGTTATTAAAGAAGCGAATGAACACCAGGGATCTGGGAAATGTGTTGTTTCTACCCTCGTTCACAGATTACACATTGAACAATATATTGAGATTCTCTCTCGAAACCTATCTATTATGACCCAACACGGTACTGCTAACCGGACGAGAGACCGCGGTTATTCATTTTATTAGGGCTGCGAAATACAAACAGCCGAATAGAACACGCTTTCGTCGCCTACAACCATATAACACTTTGAATACACATCTCGTTGGATCTCCGAAGTTCACTTTACTGTGAAAAACAGAGCGTTATGCAGGATATGTGACGAACTCTTATATTTCAAAGGACTGTACTTCTTTGCAATTCAGCACTTCCTCCTTACTTTGGTACACACTGGGTAAGCAGGGTGGCTGAATTATCAATCCTGATCGAAATATTGCTTTTATAGTACACTCTTATGTCTCATGTTTAAACATAATTCGAGGTTTCGGCAACTTATTTTGTATCACTGTCCAAATTTTGTACCACGGTAGAGTTCAAAACAAAATATCTATTTTTAGGCAGGCTATCAACCTAGCCACCCAATCATTTCCTGCACAACATGAGATAAATTACATCACTGCTGTTATCTCTGTGTATGTGCTTATAAGGAAACTAAAACAACAACAGTAAAACACTGTAAAAGTAAACAACAACTAACAAAGTAAATGTGTATAAAGTCTTGAAATAGCGAAGGGTATTTATCGAAACCATTTATTGTTTTGGCTCTCACAGATGTATTAAATGAAGTAAAAATAACTAAAACAATTACTGATTGAAAAGCAGCAAACCTTGTTAAGATATATTGAGAACTGACCGCGTAACTTGCGAACTGACTTCATAATTTGAGAACTGACTTCAGTATATATTGTTAGATATGAATGGATTCAGAACAGAATGCTGTATAACGAGCATATTTGGAACTTTCCTGAAGTTACGATCTAAGTAGTTATCTTGTGGATGGTATATCCTGGTCTCATATCCCATGGACACGACTTCATTGCTGCTTTTCCTCCCTGGGCTCTGTGTTGGAATATAAATTTATTATTCATGCGAATTCCACTTTACAAGAAAAGATTCATTGGTTCTCCTTACTGACTGCAAAATCCAGTCCAATATTATCCTATCCTACCCATTCCAACGGTGTCATCTGTGAAATATAAAACCAGCTCAAAACCTGACAAAACTTTGTTGACGGATTCTAAGATAAAAAAAGACAAAACAATTAAATGACTTGGTTTTATCTATATAGATTTTATTAACATTTTGTTCGCTTTTTTATGGCCGATGTCTTAAATGATCTAGTTATCATAGACCAATGTTTGAATGTGCACAACTTATAAGAGGCGCATAAATTATCTGATCTTAAATTCCTCGCCAATTTTACTTAATCGCCTAATTTACCAAAGTCCCTTTTCCAGCTATTAAATCCTGATTTTATTTATAAGAGAAGATTAAATTGAGTGTTTATGAAAGTTAAATTACTGATATTTTTATTTGTGCATTTTCATTCCACATTGAAGTCGGCCTGTAATTATGATTAGACAAAGGCTACACAAATATCTTCGTCTTAATAAATGAATCTTGCTTCCACTTAAAAATTACTTACTTCCAGTGATGAGATTGAACGGGTTCTCGTATGATCGAACTTGCTGACAACGGGTTCACTCATTTCAGAAAAACATGCTGAACTAAACCAACAAGAACAGTTTGCGAGAGCCCCTTGAATCCTGCCACTGCTTACTTATATATTATCACTTTACTATTATTCTATTAATAACCGTATAACCCATGCATTGAACTGGTCGCCTTTTGCTCGGTATATAAATTCATAGCTGTCTCCATGTGATTTCTGTATATAACCAAACATGATAATAAATATTGATTCGATCATTTGTGGTTTTCTTCGTTATTGTTCTGAACCAGTGAGTCGAACCTTGCAAAAGCTAGAGTGAGAGTTCACCTTTACGGCGTTAACACTATTGAAGATCTATTATTAAAGATTGAAGAAAAACGAAAAAGGGCTTTGTATACATAGGGAGGAATAAAATGTTAAAAATAGAAAATAGAGGAATTAGTCTCGAGCTCGGTAAATCATATCCTTGTCGAACCGGTTAACTATTCTTATTGTCAACATGAATCGGTAACCGGACAAAAGACGTAATTCGCCATAGGATTATTATCGGCTTTCCTTTCTCTGGGATGAATATTAGTGTTACTATGGTTTGCAAAACAAGAGAGCGATGCTCAAATATATGGACACGAAATGTAAAACAAAGTACTCTTTCCACCGTACTTACCGGTCGGTATTAATTAATCTCCGAGTTTCGCGTAGCTGTCACGTCTTTTGATAGCCCGGAATCTATATCGACGAGACACAATGAAAACGTATCGAACGCGCCACTCTCAGCCCCTTTGTCCACAAACAAGACACGTGCATAAATCACTTCTTTATATTCTTGGCAAAGAACAGCGTTTTTGTTTTCCGATCCGGGAGGCTAATACAATTACAATATATACCAGATTAATAAACAGTCCACAATACAGACAAATATCTGCGACTCTTTACACGACGAATACGTGATGCAAATGACCGAAAGGAAAACGCTAAACCAGACAATAGATAATAATACTAATTTACGCTACAAACAAAGGGTAATAATGGGTCTACAATGATTGGGTGCAAGGCAGAGAACGATGCACTGCATACAGTGGCAAAATATACGACAAACGTACGTTTACAACGTAACATACCCCCAACCGAATATATGACCCAGGGAATATATTCTAAAAAATTAAACGTTGTAAATGAAACAATAATTCGATCCACTATTTTTGGTCTTCTAGAAATCGACATAGTTTAGTAATGGGTCGTCTGACAACATTTGTGCCGGTTCTCACCAACACTGAGCGGACGAGTCCATGTTTGTCTGGGAAGGTATTTATAACCCTTCCAACAGTCCATCGACCGCGAGGAATCGATTCATCAACTAGCAGAACCATATCGTCGACTTTGAAGTTATCACGTCCTTTCGTCCATTTCGACCTTTGTGTTATTGTTGGCAGGTACTCTTTTATCCATCGACGCCAGAATTCATCAGCCAGATATTGTACCTGGCGCCATCGCTGTCGAACGTAGCAATCACGCTTCGTGAATACACCTGGTGATACATTTGGTGACGAACCAACAAGTAGTAGATGGTTGGGCGTCAACGGTTCATCAGCTGAGTGGTCCATTATCACTGGAGTTATCAGTCTGGAATTCAGTATCGATTCCACTTCAACTAGTAGTGTCTCCAACTTCTCATGAGTAATCGATTGACCTGTCAACAATACAGATAGAATTCGTTTAGTTGATTTAATCATTCTTTCAAAAACGCCACCCATATGACTGGCGTATGGAGGATTAAAGTTAAATTCTACGTCACGTTGACGCAGATAGTTTGCAATACTTTGCTCGTTCCATTTGCTAATTGATTCTTTCAATTCGCGACAAGCACCTACAAAATTGCTTCCATTGTCGCAATATATGTGAACAGGACGACCTCTGCGCCCAGTAAAGCGTCTCAATGCGTCAATAAAGTCGTCAGTTGATAAACTACTAGCTAGTTCGATATGCACGGCCCGAATCGATAGACAAGTGAAGAGACAGCCATACACTTTAACTTGACTCCGTCCTTGCTTAACAGTCATTGGGCCAAAGAAGTCAACTCCAACATACGAAAATGCACGGACGTTATCATATAACCGAGCAGCGGGTAAGTCAGACATTATCTGCTCGCCAACGTGGGCGTTCCGCTTTCGATAAAATATGCATTTTCCTATGACTTTACGAACTGCAGCGCCACCCTTCAATACCCAATATGTTTGTCTCAACGTCGTCCAAGTGTGACTCATTCCAGAATGTCCAACTTCGATATGACACTTGATTATCAGCAACGAAGTTAAATGATGTTCATTCGGTAGAATGGCAGAATGTTTCGATTCGTACTGTATTGACGCATTGTCTAAACGACCTCCCACACGCATTACGCCGTAGCTGTCCATAACGAGAGAAAGTTTACGAAGTGCGCGGGAGCAGTTAGACTTGTTCCAAATCACAATCCCGCAACCCAGCATCTCCATAACCTTCGGAAACATCTGCCACTGCACGTATTTCACAAGTTGCGTCTCCGAAAACCTGATTTCACTTAGCGTCAAAGGGCCAACATTGGGGTTGTTTGCCGTCTTAGATACCCGCATGAGCAGAAACAACTTGTATCGCATAAGCCAAGCTGTGGCTCTGCGCAAGCGAGTCCAACTAGAGTATCTTTGAATTAAACGATCGGTAGCCGAAACAGTTTCAGAATTTTCGTTCAAGCAGTCAGTTAAGTTAATTTGCACGGGAATATGCTCGGAAGGTTGAAATTCCAGTGGCGGATCCGGCATACTAACAGGGTCAATAGGCCAATCCCTTTCATCCAACCATAAAAAATCCGGACCACGCAGCCAGCGATCCCGATTAAGAAATCTATCTACAGAAACTCCTCTCGAACCATCATCGGCTGGATTTAATTTAGTTGGAACGTAGCGCCAATTTGAAATATCACAATTCTGCTCGATCGTAGTTAGTCGGTTAGCAACAAACGTTGTAAACCGTTTCGAAGAGTTACGAATACTCTGTAGTATGGCAGTTGAATCCGCCCAAAAGACGCACTGTCTTAGTAAAAGGTCTAGCTCTTTTCTGATTATTGCTCCCAATCTCACGGCTAAAACCGCAGCAGTTAACTCCAAACGAGGCACTGATACGGGTTTAATTGGAGCTAGTCTAGATTTACCCATCAGGAAAGCGCAATGAACTCTAGAATGTTCGTCAATCAGACGCAGATATGCAACGGCGCTGTATCCGTTAGTCGATGCGTCTGCAAAAATATGTACGTCACTTCGACTGACGCGTCCAAAGTCAAGCGGTTCAAGACAGCGACAAATTTTCAGGTTTTCCAATAGATGAATTTGGTTCAACCAATTGGCCCAGCTATTTGCATCACGTTCACATACAGGGTCGTCCCAGCCGATCTTCTTACGGCATAGATCCTGTAGCAACAACCTAGCAGTCAACGTGACAGGAGCCCAAAATCCAAGGGAATCAAATAACGAGCTTAACGCGGACAAAATACCTCGCCGAGTAAACTCTCGATCGGGAATATCAATCTTGCACCCGAATTCATCGCTCAATGCGTTCCAATACACGCCTAGAATGCGATTAGACACACCGTCGTCCAAGACACGACTTCGCAGTTGCTTACAACGCTCGCTTTCCGGCAAACTATTCAAGACAACCTTACTATTGGACATCCATTTCGTAAGTTTAAACCCTCCTTTACTCAACAAAGAACGTAGCTGCATCACCGTCGAAACAGCATCGTTATCATTTTTGCAACTGGACAAACAGTCATCAACATAGAAGTCTCGTTTAACAATTTCTAAAATCTTGGAATCGTATTCCGCGCCAAAGTCTTTCGCTGTTTGCAACAGACAAAATGCAGCACAACTAGGTGATGACGAAGCACCAAACAAATGCACAGTCATTTCATGTTCGACTGGCTGTGTAGATAAATCTCCATCGACCCACCACAAAAATCTTAGAAAGGCCCGATCCTCCGGTTTCACTCTAATCTGATGGAACATTGATTCAATATCAGCGATAATCGCAATGTTTTTTCTTCGAAATCGGGTTAGTACACCAACCAAACTATTAACAAGGTCTGGGCCACTCATAAGCGCATCATTCAACGACAAACCCTCGGACTTGGACGCGCAATCAAAGACGATTCTAAGTTTGTCTGGTTTCTTTGGGTTTATCACAGGATGATGTGGCAATAACCATTTTGTTGGATAGATGTTCGGCGACCTAGGACTGTCAGCTATACAAGCGTATCCTTTATCAACATAATCATTCATTGTCTGAAAATATTTTTGGCGCAATGTGTCATCTTTTAAAAGACGTCGCTTTAACTGACGAAGACGATTCTCCGCCACTTTCTGATTACATGGTAACTCGCGATGATCGATTTTCCACAATAAAGGTAGTTCGTAATGTCCATCAACAAATTTGAGTTTGTCTTCCATGCAACTACGCGCTATTCTATCTTCGCGGGAAGTTTTAGTGTCACAAATACTGGGGACGTCAGCAAAATCCGTACGCCAAAGTCGCTCAATCTGCGACGCAAAAGAATTTGTATCAACAAAATTAATGGAAGTGTTTTCATAGACGGTCAGAGACGGACCCATAAGAGACCAACCCAGAGGGGTTTTCACCGCAATCGGCTGTTGACTCCGACCCTTTCCAAATTCCTCCCACACAAACACTTCGGGAACATCCGCTCCTATCAGCAAAGTCACTTCACCGTCGTGTATTCGAGGAAAGTCGATATCAGAAAAATAGGATAGCTTACGCAAGGAACTGCGCGAGGGTAGCTTATTGGGCTTTATGGGCAAGTTATTGACGCACAATACATTGGGCAATTCAATGCAATCGTCATGTCCGTCAATTTCTTTAACGAGTAGAGGGGACAACTTCTTTGCTTTAACAGATTTGGGACGATTACCAACAGTTTGCAATGTAACATCTATAGGCACCCCGGTTAGATTTAATTTGTTCATCAATTTCACACTACACATGGTGGTTGTAGAAGCACAGTCCAAAAGAGCGTATGTATCAAAAGCCCTGTTGCCAGCAGTTACTGTCACCGGGACGATATTCATGTAAACACCGGTGTTCCCTTGTTGCTTTGCGGGCGCCAATTTATTAGCGTGAACGTCGTGATCCGCATGGTTCATCGAGGTACCGACGGAACGAGTCTGTTTACTAATACCATCTCACCGTGTAGGTGTCTCGAAATCGCGATGCAACAAAACATGATGGAACGGATACTTACAATCGTGAATGGGGCAACTTTCGTTCTGTGTGCACTGTCTAAACATATGCCCTCGTCTTAAGCATTTGAAGCACAACTGATTCCGTCTAGCCACGTTATATCGTTCGTACCATGAAGAGACTTTAAATTTCTTACAGTTGAATAATTCGTGAGAAAAATTACAACACGGGCAGTGCCAATTTGAACCACTAGCAGAAATAGCAAAAGCACTACCTTTCGCCTTAGAATTTTCATATTAATTTGATTGCCTTCTATCTCTACGGGCAAAACGAAAGTCTGATCTTGAAACATTAGCTTGCTCGGTGACAAATTTAGAGAGGTCGTTGTAACTAGCTTCACGATCCTCCGTTTCTAAAATTGTTGCCACTTTGAAATCCCAAGCGTTTTGTGACTCTGGTGGCAATCGTTTAACAATGGCCAGCAAATTGTCAAAATTATTAAGATTGTCGTACTCACTGATTTCTCCAAGAACTAAGCCACATTTCCGCATCAGTCGCGCATACGCTTGCATACCTTTCGCGTCGTCAAAGTTCAACTTCGGACCACGCTTCAACCTGTCCAAACAGGTGCGGGAAATGACATGATCTTTACCATATTCATTCTTCAGCTCTCTCATAGCTTCGCGATATCCGCGACTCGGTTCCATCATTGAGCAATGATCAATGGCATTTTTCGCTTCGCCCTGGCACAGCTGTAACAAATAACTCAGACGTACGTTATCATCATCTACAAGATCTGGGCCTTAACATGGGTCTTAAAGTTGCGGATAAAGGAATAATATTCCATTGGATCACCTGAAAATTTTGCAATTCCTGGTTTGGGTAGATCGACAGTTCTGCGATGTAAAGCATGGTTCAAACGTGGAGGCACAGGATTAGCTGAGCTACTATCAGCTGTGTGTGTAGGCAAAGTCGGCAAACGCCGTGGAGTATTTTCACGACCGTTATCAATAAGCTGTGATTTAGGTGGGAAATCACGGGATTTCACGCTATTGTCGTGTCTAATTCTATCTACTGTTACCCACCGCAAAAATTTGTCATCGCTCATTTCTCAAACCTTTGATTCTGTTTCAGCAGCCTGTAAAGCGTGTCTTGTCCGAAGCTTACGCAAGTCGTCTTCTAAAGCTGAGAGTTCTTCTTCTTGACGGGCATTTAGGCGTGCCAGCTCCAACTTCACTCTTGCATTCCGGACTGAGAAAGTCGATGACGCTGAAGAACTCACGTCGCTAACGTCACTGGAACTCCTGCAAACATCTAGATGAGTTTTAAATTCATTAAAACTGCCAGGAGCATTGCTAATCATTGCCTGATGTTGGTCATCCGACCTACCACCGGTTGCCATTATTGAGAACCAGAATTAATGTTTGAAACCCTTTGGTTGAAAACTTGAGAATTTTGGTATTAACGTTAATATCATATAAAACTTCACAAATTATGTTTGGAGACTTGAAATCGTTTGAATTTTGAAGCACGTTTGAAAACTTTTATGTCACGTCTTCTGATAGCCCGGAATCTATATTGACGAGACACAATGAAAACGTATCGAACGCGCCACCCTCAGCCCCTTTGTCCACAAACAAGACACATGCATAAATCACTTCTTTATATTCTTGGCAAAGAACAGCGTTTTTGTTTTCCGATCCGGGAGGCTAATACATACAATATATACCAGATTAATAAACAGTCCACAATACAGACAAATATCTGCGACTCTTTACACGACGAATACGTGATGCAAATGACCGAAAGGAAAACGCTAAACCAGACAATAGATAATAATACTAATTTACGCTACAAACAAAGGGTAATAATGGGTCTACAATGATTGGATGCAAGGCAGAGCACGATGCTCTGCATACAGTGGCAAAATATACGACAAACGTACGTTTACAACGTAACAGTAGCGTCGCGTATATTCGGAAAACGCTGACATGCAATTCGTGTTTTCATAAAAAATGAAATATTCTGGATGAAAATTAGATATCATAGGAAATTTGAGAATACTGTAAATGTAATGTGAATGTAATAAAATAATAGCGTTCTAGCAAAAAATACCATCCTCAACCACTGAAAATTTCAAAACAATCGGTCCATTAGTGAATTAGAGAATCGATTTTTCAAAATGGAACCAGAAGAAATACAATAAAAACAACATTTTACAAAAACAATCTATTGGTCCATTATGTATCCAATAAAACCTCTCTCGCATTATCTTGCGCGGTTGAAAAATTTTCTTATCCGGATTTACGAAACTTGACTCCTTTAATCCGGTTTAGCCAAACCAGCATTGTTCCTAGGCTCTGCGTTGGTATGGAGTATCTTCATCAATTATGCGAATTCCACTTTAAAGCAGAAGCTTTATCTGTTCTTCTCATTGACTGCACTATCTTATAATGATTATATGTGTTTTTACCAAAATAAAATTTTAAAGATTGCAAACTGGCTATTTTTGGATTTTTTCTTTATGAAATCAAAGCCAGTCATCGGCTATCTAGCTGAACCAATCGCTGCTGGTCGGTCACGGCTTTACTCCATCATCAAGTTCATGCTTCTGTATACTAATCCCATACCATTCTCTCTTATGTACTTCACACAATCCATGCCACTGATTTCAAACCTGATGCCTATATGTTGAACCGATGCTCACTTGTTCACATTGTCGGGCTTTTCTTGAATAGGAATTCCAATAAAACTGCATTCATTGCTAGATTTCTAACCAGCATAATGTTCGGCTATTCATCGATATGCTTTTGTAAAACCGAATATTAAAATGTGCCACAGTAAATTTATTTTTGGATCTAACAGCCTAAGTTAATATATACATTGTCAACAATATCAAGTGACAAACATGGTTTAATATTATCGAAGTTGAAATCAGAGGTATTCAATTCCTCGTCTACTACATATGGGCAGCTATAAAAATGAGAAAAATAGATTTTAAACAAGCAAACACTTACTTGCGAGCAGAATATAAGACAAAAAAGCAATACTGCTGAGCAGCCATTTTACAGCTCTAGTACACAATTATATGAATATACTGGTATAATCTAGCGCAGAGTTTACATGAGACAGGATTTACATATTTAGGAGAGGGATGTAACGTTCCTTCTAAGCTGCGCAGCTGGCCGAGAATCCCTGCGCAGTACTTTCGTTCTGCCGCGCACTGCATAAGTATTAAAATGTTGTGTTCTTTTCTATTGCGCGCAGACCTTTTTTTTGAGCTCACATGGCCTTCCATTCCACGCAACTTAGCAAGCTCTTAGGACAGCGGTGGGCAACTTCTCTAGTCGGCGGGTTAAATGTGGGAAAATGTAGTCCTCGGTGGGCCGAATTATTACAAAAAATACTCAGGTATTCAATCTGTGTTAAATGCTCGACACTCTCTGTCAACTTTACGTTTCTTGGGATAAAAACCTAATATAAAATCTAAATTCTAAAATCTATCTATATTAGGAGGAAAGCCTATATAAAGATATGACGTCTTAACTATACGGTGAACCCCGGCATCTCGTCCGGTTACTCGTCCATGTTGGGTATGGGATTAGTTAGTTGTTTGTTTCAGATGCATGGACTTGTCGGTGGAGAAAAACGTAACCAAATACTTCGAAACCTCCACAATGAGTTCAGTACAAGGCTTAGGATTCAAATAAGACATAACAGAATTATTTGCGAGACTTTTTTTCAGTATACAAAAATCTTTTTCACTATATACAAAATCAACATTATGCTTAGCGAGCTCCTAACAATAGTTGAGTAAATAGGTACAAAACGAGACACATATACTAGGTAGACTTTACAGCAGGGGTACTCAACCTCCCAGGTAAATGAGCTGCATTTTGACCACAAAAGATGCGACGGGCCACAGAATAATATTACCATGTATTTGTAATATTCAATTCATTTATTAGTCCGATACTGATGTACAATTTGCTTTTTGTTTTCATTTTTGTGCATTCTAAAATATAGCTATTGAATAGCATTCGCAAGTTTGCAGTTGCAACTTCTCCCCTAGCTAGAACTATGACAGAAATTTACATTTTTACAACATAGAAAAAATATAATTATGCCCAACAGCAACAATGTTTTTCAATTACAAAAACGTTTTACAATTGTTTTATTCTTAATGAGAGTTGTGAGTCTGCATTCTGTTCACAAGTACTTCACAATCTTTTTCCTAAGATCACAACCAGATGGATATGCAATTTTGAACTCTGGCTGAAGCTGTTTGTATTGTCGTTGTAAATTTGCTTGCTTCGGCACAGCAACCATTCTTTGACAAACAAGACACATGGGTTTCCCATTTATCTCTGCAAAAGCGAATTCATTGTTCTACGCAGACTTAAAAACCCTGTTTTCGTCGTTTACTTTCTTCTTCTTTGTCGCCATGACTTATTGTTTTTAAGCTGGACACAGTGTAATACTGCTGCAAAGCGCACTTCCGAATGTAGATAGAGTGTGCGATGAGTGAGCTAAGTAACTCAATTTTTACGTAACAATACGTAATTCATCTGTTTTCAGTGATGACACAATCCATCGTCTTATCATGCGCTGTAAGGGATGAGAAGAGTGATACCGAATTTAAAAATCGTTTATATTCTTTGCGCCAAAATTTAATGATACATGTTTGGGTAAATCAAAGATCTTTGGCGGGCCGCAAAATATGCATCGGTGGGCCGCATTGAGAACCCCTGCTTTAGGGTCTCGTCTGCGATACACAAATCATAGAATGTTTTTCGAGGACCGAATACCAGAGAATCGGATCTAACACAAGAACGATATATCTACCAATCCCGAAGCCTCAAAACTGGACAACACTTCGTTGTAGTGTTTCAGGAAACAGCCTATCAATAAATCAATTTGATTTTGGTCACTTTGACATATGATATAAATATCTAAATTTTCGAAGGTGACAAAATCAGGATTGTCCAGAGTGAATTGGAATCGAATACAGTCGACTTTTGGTCATATCCGATGTAATTAACTTCGCTCTTATCATACTTGTGTTAAAAATACAAAACCAACCCTAAGAAATTGAGACGACTCTTGTTGTAGTTGCTAATTAAGCTAATTAAACTAGTTAGATATTAATCTGACTCCAAACAGAATATAATGGGTTGTTACATGTTCAAGTCGAGAAGTCTGTTAATTTGATATAACAGCAAGGTTCTAGACAATTGCCTGTATAGATTTTATTTTCTTCGATAATTATATTACAATAAATTAAATAAACCAACTTACATTTTCAAGTTATTATTCATAACAGTAGCGTAGCGATCATCAGAATTATTGATATTTGACGATAAAGACGATGATCTCTTGTACGTTTGAGATCGCATTTAAAGGGGTACACAATTTTCTCGATTATTCGAGACCGTTTTTACACTGATTATTCATGTAAAACAAGGTCATTCAACATATCACATTGGGAAATTATTCGCTATTTTGCACGTTATGTTGAAATATCATATTTAGAATGTTCTTGAATACTCTCCAATATTTAGGACTTAGGAATCATTTTTAGTCTTGATGTCATTATTTCCAAAATTTATGGTTATTTGTTACAAAATATAGCTTTCTATCTCTCTGTTTAGCCCAAATTTAGGTGATGATTGAGAGTTTTTAACGGGGGTATTTGAGATAGCAAATATCATTTGTTCTCCATTACAGCCCACCATAGTCATGAATTGGTGGTTAGGTCTCTGGTCCATAATATTTTAGCATCGGAATTTCAATAGGGATGTGTATTCAGGATAAATTTATTTTACGCCAAACCCCTAACTATGGTTCTCTAGGACTTGGCCTTATTGGAATTTTTACTCTGGCTCTGGCTTTTTACTCTGGCTACTTTAGTTCACAAAGGAGATACATATTTAGATTACCACCATATCCAGCTGGCTGTTGGCCCTCCGCGCGTAGCGTTAAATAAAGATTGTATCTAGTGGGAGATAATTATTCGCTGGACTACTCATCGCTGTAAGGTGGTTTTCATAATCATTGGTCATTTGCGGCTTTCTCCTCAATCAAGTCTATGCATCTGAACAAAGAAAAGGTTGGCTAATACCACACCAGACTGGTAATCGGACGAGAAGATTTGATATGTTCAAGCCGTCTTATGGCCTTTTCTTGAGCTCAAGACTAAATTATCGATAAAAATATGTCTAAGCGGTTTTTGTAATCCCGAAATCTTGAAACATTCATTCTCTATCGCACAGAAATGTCAGTCATCTGCTCACAAATTTAGTGACTAGTTTCGACTGTTAAGGTTATCTATTTCCAAACGAGTTTTAGGCTCAGACAGAAAGCAAAAAGAATCGTTGCTTGCTTTGACGAAAACGATGAAGAGTCAGTTTGGCATATTTTTACTGCAGTCGTATTATCTAACTGTCTGAAATTTTCAAATTCTCAATAGCGACAACAGAAGCCAAAACTTGATACAAGAAGGCATTAAGCTTTCTTAACAATCTATTAAAGAAGTTTCAATCATTTTAAAATTTAATTTTTTCCTTGATTTTACAATCCGGAGCTAAAGTCTAAGTCAATTTTTTGTATTGTCAAATTTCGGCAGTTATCGATTGTGAATTTCTCAAGACCCGGGCAATACCTCATTTTGATCATAATTATTCTCAGGAAAAGTCATGAAAAAGTCCACAGAAGAATTGTTTGAAGCGCTGTTTTGTAAAAAGTGCTCAATTTGAAATAAACACTGCTCTATACAGACCAGCACTTCATTATGACCAAAAAATAGAGAAGCCATAATTTGTATACGAAACAAAAGCTTTAACATTCATCGTCCTGATAGAAACAGTCCAGGGAAATGAGGAGAAGTGTCCTTGCAAGAGGCAGATATTCTTAAAATTATCAATTCCGAAAACCATTCAGTTTCGTGAGCGTAAAACAAAGAAGTAAAAATTGAAACGGAATAAAAAAAATAAGTCAAATTACAGCATTCCCGATGTATGTGAACCAAGATGGTAAACTCCGGAACGTAGTATGTGTACCGGGTTAGGGTTAGGCCATAATTTTAGGTACAAATACTACGGAGTCAATTGGGTAGTCCCTAAACTTGAGGAAATGAGGAAAATTGGAAATAAATTAAGGCCTAACCCTAACCTACTACGTTCAGATGTCCGCCATCTTGGTTCACATACTTCGGGAGCACCCTAATTACAGAATTCAGTATCAATTACTGATGATTTTGTATGGGATTTCATTTTCACACTGAAAGAGAGAAACCCAACAAGACGCTTCCAACGCAGTCAACCAACTAATTGTGCTGTCGTACGGAGGTCTGGCATAGGAATGCAAGCCTAGTGTGAGATTAGGACTCTTATGTTTGTATGAGAGATCAGTTTTCAACTACAGGAGGAGCCGTGCAATTGTTTTCATGGGTCGTGCCCTTGTTTTCAGGATTCATGTCATTGTTTTCAGGAGCTGTGCCATTGTTTTTAAGAGTCGTACCAATGTTTTGGGGACCCGTGCCATTGTTTTCAGGAGTTGTGTCATTATTGTTTTCAGGAGTCGTGCCATTGTTTTCAGGGGTTGTGCCATTGATTTCTTCTTGATATGGTAATGAATCGTCGTTGTCTGCTCCAACCTGATCGAGTACCGCCATCACCTCTGGTTTATCATTGTCGATCTCTGGAGAAGGGGAATAAGCAAAAATAATTGAATACCACATTCCTCATGACTTTTGAGTAATTTTCTAAGCTTGGCCCGATTGGTATTGAACCTGATAGATGTGAGTCCCGCTTAACCATTAATCAAAAGAACTTTCAAATCACTTTACGTTTACGACAACTATTTTGGCGCGATAAATCTCGAAAATATCTCAGTCAGTCGCAAACGCCAATGTTCATTGGTAAAAATTAATATTTTCTTTAACACAGGCAATACCTAAAATAAACAGCTTAGTTGTCACCACAAATATTAGAATATAAAGTCAGACATAATGTTGCCTCTGCTTCACCAAAGCACTGAACGACCTCTGGAGACCAGCATGTCTATACCCAGAATGCACGCTTTAGTGGTTTTACCCATAATGCTATGTCAACATGCTGTGCTGTCATTGGTCAGTTAAAGAGTGGGAAATAGAATTAAAGCACAGTTATCCCGGAATGACAATCACTTGGACAAAACATACACGAGAACACACAAGTTAACACCCAACCTTCCTGACATCAAGTCCATGCTTCCGAAAATAAATAACTAACTAATCCCATACCCGACATGAAATGGTAACTGGACGAGAGGCCGTGGTTTAGCGAAAGTTTAGTACCGACAGAAAAAAAATACCAGAGTTGCCCACTGACAAACCTAGGGCGACGATTTGAACTTTGATATAAAATCGCATAAAATTTGAATAAACAGGTTGTAACTTTCAGAATCCAAATATCGCAAAGTGAAGCAAAATTTCATAAAACTTCAAATAATTGCGCGATTATTGCCAGTTTACGAGGTCAAATAATCTCACAATTGCAGAGTATCAAAAGTCACTATTCCCCATCACTATTCGATTATCCATGCTTCATATTAACTTGAAAGGTACTCAGAACAACAGATTTATGGTTTCTGGCCATAGCTGGTTTGGGGGGAGGGAATATATATTATCAAAGAATTAGTAAGAATGATGCAGGAATAATTCAGTCCGAGACTATTTCAGCAATTCGAAAGGAGAACAAACCTTCAGCGACGTGTCTTCTCTTTGCTTCTGTCTCTCCGTCGGCATCTTGATCGCGACGTTGTTGGTGAGAATCTCGATCTCTCTCACGACTGTTGTCCCGACTTCGACGGCGCCGTTCACCACGATACTAAAGTAAAAACATTGGTTCACTCAGATTTTCTGAGGGTTCTGTTGGGATTAATCAGGAAAAGAATGAACTGCTATTTTAAAAGCATTAGGGGAACCTCCTGAAGTATGCGCACCAAGATGGCGCAGAATCTGAACTCAGGTTGTGTATCAGGTTAGGATTCAGGTTGTGCGACATCTTTGTGTGCATACCTCAGGAGTAACCATTACGGAGTACAAGTATTATAAATTGGGTCGCATAAATTTTGCAAAAATCAATCAGAGCTCCAGAAAGTATGTGCACCAAGATGGCGCACAACCTGAACATAGTATGTGTACCAGGTTTGGGTTCAGGTTGTGCGCCATTCTGGTGCGCATACTTCGGGAGCGCCAATCAATCAATATTTCAAAATATTGAATTTGAAGGGCCTTTTTGATGCTAAGAGCAGAAACAAGACATTTTCAAATTTGCTATTCTCACTTAATTCAAAAATATACCATCTTGGATAAAACTAATTCTGGAGACCAACATATCGTTTCTAATATCCGCATAATCAAAAAGCAAACAGTGTTCAATTACATTTTGTTATACTACATCTTTGCTCAGTGCAAGCTAACAAGCCCTCAGCTCAAAGTCAAAATGGTAGTAAACGCAGACTTTCCAAGCGACATATATATATTTATTATTTTAAGCATACGGTAAACCTCTCGTCCTGTTACCATGTCCAGTATGTGTTAACAACTCATGGCCATGGATGGCGCAGGACGCTGTAGCTGACCATGTGAACCACCCAGTGTTTTTGGGTTATGATAATCCATGCAAGACAATTATGGGCTCAAGATTCAAGGCCATGTTCTTCTTGCGGTCTCTTTAGTACTCCGTACCATAACAGGAGAGTCACCCTCGTACCTCAGCTCACTTCAGGTGGAACGAACATAAAAGAATGTGAAATACCTGGTCTCTGTCACCATGACGATCTGAAATGAAAAATTGAATGGATTTAGTTTGAGTTTTATTTGAAACTGAGTTTTGGTACAAAACAGGGATGACCAAACAAGAATAACCTACAATTCTGAAAATAATCAAAAATATATTCTCACATATTAAATAATATTTATATTTTAAATTGGTTGTGAAATAACGGAGGTTAGATTGATTTCTTTTTTCTACGTATTTCAATAAATAAGTAATAGGATTTATATATTTATCCCGGGGGAAAGAAAAGCTTATTTATATGGCGAACCACTGCCTCTCGTCCGGTTACTACTCCATGTTGGGTATGGGATTTGCAATCCAGTAATTTGTTTCACATGCATGGAATTGGGTGGAGGAAGCCGTAACCGACCAGTGGTTTACGTGAACCACTATGCGGCGATGAGGAGCCCAGCAATCCTCTCGAACCCACGCAGGGTATTACAGGTGCGAAGCAAGAGTATTCCTAGCGCTAAGCAAGAATTGCCACATTGCCAATTATTTTCAAAAAGGGAAAAAATATCCCAAACGATTTCCTAAATTTAGATTCCCAAAATAAATTGTTGAGCAGGTTTGAAATCTATAACTTACCTCTCCTGTTATCGTTGTCGCTTCTCTTTCTTTCAGAATCTGAGAAAATTAGGAAAAATGTCATTGAGAGGTATTGGATAAGAAACTAAATCAACGGATGCTCATACTCTGGTGTTCCACAGGGAAAACATTGATCATACTTTTAATGTATTTGTGATGTAACAATTCATAACCTTACTGAAGCGAAAAATGCAGACAACTTAAATGCCATTGGTAGCTAGATAAGAACTATTCTCTGCGTATGCCCTATTTTCATTCATTTGGTTGAGAAACCCCATAGTATGATTCTTGAATTAGCAAAACCAAATGGATACTTCTGCCTATATTGTTTGCAATCATTCAATTATTTATCACTTAAGTTGATCCTCCCGAACTGACGCATGCTCGACGTTTCAGACGTTTTGCAATGCTGTGTGTAAACCATGAGGTCTGGAATGTTTGTTATGGTCTTGCTTGAAAGGAAATCTTATTCCCCACACAACAATATAAGAACGAACCTTATATGACATTTAGAAGTGATAAAATTTCGCTTACATATCACGCGTGTACTTCCCGCTGCGATATAAAAACGTCGCACAACAAGAAAATGATTCCATAAACCTTGGCGTTGCGCGCTAACCAATAACAAAAGCTAGTATGATAAGGTCTTATTTTGAAGGTCATGTTATATGCTACATAACATAGAAGAGTGGACATCTCACAACGTCAGGAAGTTATGAAAATATCGAGTCGTTTGATTGCAGCTGCCTCACCGAAAAAAAGTTAGTTCACATAGGCGTTTTTTCTCGCAAATTCTCCTTGTCTCACGATTATAAGCTTTTATGATTCATAATAAATGTTTTATTATGACTCACAAAAGCTTTCAACGCGATAAAGCACAAACAAACAACCGATCGATCTATCAAGCAGCTTAGCCTGGCCTGATTCGATGTGGTGACTTCTCAAACGGAAAATTTCCAAAACGCTTGAACGACGCGCGCTATCGAAAAGCGTTTAGTATCATATGAAAGAGAAAACCAATGTGCAGTCAACTGTATAGTCACATTTGAGCTTTACAACAGCTATACACGTCCAACAACTGATAGAATGAGAGAGTGTAAATATTTTTGTTATTTTTTGACGTTACGAGAGACCTCTTGAAACAGGTGTTTTAGTTTACGGTCCTCCAGTGACATCTAGCGTATAGTACTCTAAAACATAGGTTCTCAAAGTGCTCCGTACGGAGCCCCAGGGCTCCGCGAGAGAAACCTAGGGGCTCCGTGAGCTATCCGATTACTTTTTAAAATAATGACTAGTTTTGTAACTGTTCAAAGAAACAATAACAGCTTTGATAAAATTTGACAACATTATAGTCTTGAAATATGGCAAAGAGGCGGAATCGAAAAATGACATTATTTATAAGCTGGAGCGCAGCCAGGATTCTCAAGAGGTGGGGATTTGAATCGGAAATTTCCGCGCAACATTCTTTGCGATTATAAAAAACGGATAACGAGATTTCTGTTGCGTAAAATATTCAATGTATGGCCGATGCGAGCATTTAAAGTGTCTCGTCGTAATAATTCAATTGTACTCATAGTTACTCAAGTTTCATTCGAGATCACTATTAGGATTACTAAAATGAAGGAATACTATTCTAAAATAACATAAAATACGTGATAAACTGCCACCTATGAATAAATTGGAGTCGTATTTTTGCGATCTTGGAATTTGTCAAACTTGATTTGTTCTTTTGCACTCGAGATTATTATTAAGCAAGATATTGCCGTTAAAAAAATCACAAGATCTGGGCAAAATACGATTGAAATTTATTTTAATGCATGCGGCTCCGTCGGTAGTTTCAGAATAAAAAAAAGGTAAATCGCGCACACAATTGACTGTGTTTCGATTTCTCAGTTACTGTACTACGAATAACCAAAGAAAACCTAACATTACACCAAATTTTGTGATTTACAATGCCTATAAAAGCGTTTTTAATCTGACGTGAGTCTGCTAAAACCAAACTTATAGTGTGATCTTTTATTTTGAAATTTAATATTTTGGAATGCTGTTTTTCAATCAAGAAATTTGAGTTGCGGATTTACCTCTTTATTATTAATTATTATTTTTAGCATTTCGTCGCCGATGACTATATATGGTAACATGTTTTTCACATTGAACTCATAATTCCCCACGAGAACAAAAAAGCAATCATCGTCGTCATTGTGGAACAAAACGTGTATAAGCCGAAGAAAATTTTTGATTTAGGGAGAATAAACACTGGCGTAAAGATGTTTAACATGCCATGCTGACGAAAACTATCGGTGATTGTAACAAAATGCAATCGCGCACGTTATTAGCAGCCTTTTAGTTTTAAGTCTTCCGAAAATGTCAAAAGGGAAAAGATTCGACCCCTAGTTTATTAATATGTTTGTCAAGTGTCAAATTTACAGCTTTAGTAAGAGTATATATAATTTATCTTTGAAATTTTGATTTATTTATGACTTGCATTAACCCCATTAAAAAAAGGTTTAGCCTTTAAATTAAGTTAAGTACTTTTAACTTACTCAGGAATATTTATCGGAAGCTACAATTTTAACATTTCTTTTGGGGCTCCGCGAATAATGGTCAACCTTTTCAGGGGCTCCGCAACACCAAAAGTTTGAGAACCCCTGCTCTAAAATACCTTTCCAATGGTATATAATTATTGTATATTGGGTAAATTTTAGGGGTCGTATGACATGAATAAAAATGGGTATACAAAATTGGGCTCGATTAGGAATCTCGAACAGGTTTTTGTATTATAATTCTTGACGACGTTGAAAGTTTCAAGTTATGATTCAAAGTATTAGATTGTTGGCGAACGAAGTTGGTGACGGATTGTTGAAACCTCAACTACTGGGCATACCAGGTTGGCTTACTTCGATGTATTTATTTTCTTTTTCAAATAACATATACAGTTCGACTTTTTGTTATTATTTTCTTGTTCGACTTGCTTATGGTTGCCGCTGCTCGATAACCAAATTTGGTTTCTCCCGCTCCCCTCACCCTGAAATGCTTTTTAATTATTTATTGCAATCTGTAATATATCAAGTGTGCTTTCAGTATGATGATGAGTCTCTGCATTAAACATGGCTTGGAACTATTACATGTAAATTTGCTGAAGGCTGCTATTGATGAGCAACACACCAATTCCTCTAGCAATAATTACCTTGCCCATTCTCTTCCTCTGTCTGTCGAAGCATCCCAAATCCGACTGGTAGAAACATAGCAGTGAGAGCATCAGCATCAACATCTTCTGCGACGTAGGCTCCAACTTCTTCAGCCTCTTCCTCTCGACGCTTCTTCAAAACCTGTCAATATGGACAGAGACTAATTATACAATAGAGATTGGTTCGCTAAAACATTGGCAAGTTTTTATGTGCTCACAAACTATGTGCACCAAGATGGCGCACAACCTGAAACTAGTATGTGTACCAGGTTAGGGTTCAGGTTGTGCGCCATCTTGGTGTACATCATTACGGAGCACCATTTTTTATGCAAACATAGTAGCATTCTGAATTGACCGTTCCTAGCTATGCAAATAGTAGTAGCAGTTTGTGCTTGTACAAAACTATATTTGGATACCAGTAAACTGCAGCATAAAAATACCTGATGTCCAAAATTCTCAAGGATTAAACACTCACCTCGTTAAAGTATAGTACATGTGTGTTAGTGTTCAAATCTAAAGTGACACCAAGAATTTTTAGTTCAGTTATTTTTAGTTGTTGAACCCGGTAGTCAACCTGAACCCTAACCTGGTACACATACTAGTTTCAGGTTGTGCGCCATTTTGGTGCACATAGTTTGTGAATTGTGAGCACATAAAAACTTGCCAATGTTTTAGCGAACCAATCTCTATGATGATATTAATTTTCAATACAAGTTGGCAAGGTTAATTTGTGAGCAGAAAAGCAGCCACAGTCGTCATGAAAGGTATGAATCAGAGCTGACATGAAGAATTCATAAACCCGGTTTGTCAATCTTAATACTCCTTTATTGGCAGTGGAAAATGTGAGCTGTGTTTTCACCCCTTTATGGGTACTCCCGTAGTATGTGTACCAGGACTGTTTTCACTGGCCACACTGACAGTTTGAAGTGCAAAAAAACTAATCATTGATGTTCGCTGTGGCACAAGACTCAAAGTGAAATAAGGAGAAGTATCTTTGCAGACGTTCTAAGATAACTCATACTGACAAACAGTCAGCTGGTATAACAAAAATTAGTTTTGTGAAACTTTCGGAATTTAATTTCACTGTAGAATTTGAAACATTTCTCTGGAGTTCTGGTCATGAGAACTCATTTTCAAATTTGTAAACAATCCCTGGAATACTCACCTCTTGACGTTTCCTCATATATTCTAATTCTTCAGGGTCAATTTCATCTCTATCTCTCTCATTTCGGCCACCGAAACCACCTCCACGACCTCTAAACCCTCCATGACCTCTGAACCCTCCTCGACCTCTAAACCTTCCTCCTCCACCACTGTGACGATCACGGTTACCTGGACACAAACATAGATTAAAAATGTCTGAGGAAACTTGTTTTGATTTGGGCAGAGGGTAACTATTACTTCCTGCAAGGATCTAAACTAGGGAAGTATGATACTAGTATTCTAATATTCATCATGTGAAAAATGAACATTGGCACCGAAGAAGTTTTGTATGCTTTTAGGTATTTCACTTTTTTGTTTGTTTTTGTGGGAGATACCCAAAAATGTCTATACACTATAACAGGGGTGGGCAAATTTTTTTAGCATAAAAGCCGCATGCAGCAAGTCAGAAATATGTGAGATCACTGAGAGCCGCATAATTTTTGAAATTATTAATAATAGAATGCCGTGAACTGAAAAGAACTTCACACAAACGTATAATAACAATACTGCAAAGTATATATTCTTCAACCGCCTAATGAATTAAAAAAATAACTTTTAGCCAACTTGAGCCAACATGGGGAACTCCTTGGCAGCTGCCAACTAGAAACTGTCCAAAAGTAGATCAGCAAAGATTAGCTTGAGACATCGATCTTGTTTCAGTTCAGTTATTTCCTCCTGCTCCTGCAAAGTCATGTCCATTCCAAAAGCTGATGCTGAGCTGAATGAATCCCTAACCCAGTCAAGGTACTCTGTGAGAGAAATAAAATGATATCTTCTGCTCAAGAATTTTTAAATGTTCAACTATTACCTCACAAAGTGCAGCAGTATTAACACCTTGACATTTATTGTTGAGTGGGAACATTTTAAGATTGCCATTTCCCACATGTCGCTGCCAGAGTTGCACCTTGGAACGGAATCCATTTATTGTATCTGTGCTTCGCGGTGTAAAAACAGTGCGTTATAATCACATCGGGGTTTTTCTCTTTCACTTTGCTTACAAAGCCTTTGGTGCGCCCAACCATGGCTGCAGCTCCATCAGTGCAGACACTCGTGCAGTTGTCCCACGTAAGTCTTCCTTTTTCTAGATATTCTGATGCTACGTGAAAAATTTCCTCTCCCTTTGTTTTTTCCTCTCTGATTGTGTCTCCATCCACAAACCTCACATTAGTTAAGAGTTGAGCATTCCCAGTAATATCAGTAGACTCATCAAGTTGCAAAGCAAATTATTACCGATACGGATCTTGTCCAAAACAACACTTTCTATGTCTGCAGACATCTCATTGATGCGTCTGGAAATTGTAATATCTGAAAAAGGGACTTTGGCTATTTCTTTAGCCGCTTCGGGCCCGAGCATTTCAGTTACATTGACTTTGCAGGCGGGAAGTATTAATTGCTCTGCCACAGTGTGGGACTTTTTTGATTTAGCCACAAGTTCAGCTACGTGGTAGCTAGCTTTAAGGGCTTTCGCGTTTACTTTTTTGGTTTTTCTCTTTCTCCTTTCTTCTTTGTCTGATCACGCAGGCGAACAAAATAATTCACATTTTTGTTTTGAAGTAAGGTGTGTTTAGTTTCAAGATGTCGTTTGAGCTTGCTTGGAACCGTAGCACCGTTGGAGAGCGTTTCACCACATACCAAGCACAATGGAGTCGGTGCCGTTGCATCTCCGGTACAAGTAAATCTAAATGAAAGATAGTTTTCGTTGTATTGCCTTGTCTTTGCTTTCTTTTCACCACCACTCATACTAGAGCCCGGATTTTGTCCAGGGTCCAGTACAATGTCCGCATTTTTTCTTTTCAAAAATTTCTCCATCACAAATGCAAAACGCAGCCAGGAAGAGCGGGAATGACCTTGAGTCTGAGTCAGTCGAACAGTTCTACATGATTACTCTACCGGGCACAACACCTCATATACACAAGAATCGAAGAATTCCCACGGCACCCCTGACAACATTCTACGGCACACCGGTGTGCCGCGGCACCCCGGTTGAAAAACACTAGTATAGTGTATAGCAGTAGTTCCCAAACTATGGCTCGCGACCCACTGGTGGGTCGCAAAAGGAATCTTAGTGGGTCGTGAAAAGATGTAGAAAGCTTTGATTAATTATACTGGATATTAGGATCGGTGGCGACTCAAATACGTAAATCCTCAAAAAAACTAATGGAATTAAATTTAAAGTCTAATCTGTCAAAGTTTCCTTTTTACGATCTTCTCGAAGGAACAAATTTGCAACACAAAGAATGACTATGTGGCTTTCTTACGCATAGCAGTTTTATACACTGTACAGCACTTCTTACTAGAGCTAAGATCTGAAGCCCGACCCGACTCGACATTTCGGGCCGGGTCGGGCCTGAAATGCCAATCATTACGTTCGGGTCGGGTCGGGCTTTTCTATCGCTGACTTTTTTTGAAATAAATATATGTTTATAACAAAATATGTGTGGAGATTAAACAAATGAATACTTGTTATAAAAAAAATAATTTGAAGAAAACAAAGAAGAAGCTGCAATGGACCTTTCCCCGACCATAGAATCCCGAACAATTCTTCCTATAGAGGACTTGCACGGGTCACGTGACATTGTTACTGGACGGCAATAAAACAAAAACGTCCATTTGGCTCCTGTCAGTTGCAAGTCGGATTATACGTTTGCGTTTTGTTTGGCTGTTGAAATAGATAACTAAAGTTTAACACCAGTGGTCATGCAAAAAATAACCAGAATTCAATTGAATTCGCCATCTAGGAATACGCTCGCCACCGCATCTCTGATCACCATGGTAGTTTCACAGGTTTCAATCCCATGCGGGGATAGTTATGTGCTAGAGGATTGCAGCTCTACTCCCACCGAGGGTGGTTCACATGACCGCTGATCGGTTACGACCATTCCCCACCATCCAAGTCCATGCTTCTGAAAACAAATAACTGGCTCACCCCCCCCCCCCCCCCCCCAATGCTAAATTTTCTTTAGTCAAAAGGCACACTTGATTCGCAAAAATTTGTGAATGCGCACAGTACACCATTTGTCTAATGTTTTGATTCCATAGGCAGGAGGTTGTGGATCGGTGCTGCTCAGGATGGGATATTTTTGCCTCTAAATGCATATTACGTGTATTACGTGTTTCACATGAATCCATCGTGCTCAGATTCGACTGTTTTCAAGGTCTGAAGGCTCCAACAGCCTTATTTTATGGGTACACAAGAGAATTTTCAGTGTGGCATGCATGGGTCAGTTGGAGTCACTAACCTCAAGATATCTATAAGCAAGGATAAGATAACCTGGAAGTAACATTCCATAATTTAGAGTAAAAAATGTATCTGCCTCCACAGCCCTTTCAAATGGAAGATATGATGCCTCGGGGGTAATTTCTATCAAATATTTTACAGTATTATGGTTCTAGTGAAAAGGGGTGTAGGCGGCTTTTTTTTAAAGTGTGGTAGGTCTAGTCGGAAGACACATTAAATGTTTATGCTAACAACTGCGAATTAATATTGCAACGCATACAAGTTAACAGAATTTGTTGAAATGGTCCTGCCTTTTGCCTTTCTTCAAAATCCTCCTTTTTCTAACTATTCTCTTCTTCTCTGGGGATAGCGAAAATTCAAATATCAATGGGACATGTAAGCAGCTGATAATGGGTTATCTTCCCTTTTTCCTGAAAATAAATTAAACACTAATCATCATTTGACAGTGCCGAGTTTGTGTATCAGATCAGTAATAAATTACCTGCTAACTCACAAAACAATCAGACAACACCTTCTGACCATTAATGAAGATTTCTTTCAATTTAAAACGCAACTATGCCTACCAATGTGGGTAGTTTTTAGGATAGAATTTATCTGTGGTTGGGGACAGATTGCAAGGTGCAACATCGTACGATTACCATTTTTATGTCGGGATTAGTTAGCCAGTTATTTGTTTTAGAAGCATGGACTTGATGGTGGGGGATGTCGTAATCGACCAGCGGTCATGTGAACCACCCTTAGTGGAAGGAGAGCTGCAATCCCCTCGCACATAACTATCCCCGCATGGGATTGGAACCTGTGAAACTCCCAGGGGGATCGGAGATGCGGTGGCGAGCGTATTCTCAGATAGAGAATTCAATTGAATTCTGGTTATTTTTTGCATTATCACTGGCGTTAAACTTTAGTTATCTATTCAAATTTTCACACTTACTAATAGATTACCTGCTAACTAGGGAAACAATACCTTATGGCAATTATTGATAAATACCTTACACGAGTCAAGTCTGCAAGTAGGCCTACGCCTAAGCCTACCAATAACAGTAGTTTGTCATCTGCTTTCCATTGAAATGAGGGAGCTTATGAATATTTAAAAAAATTGATAACGGCACATCATGACTCACCATCAACGAAGTGCTGTCCGCAAACAGTGAAACACGAGTAAGATGGCTTCTGGACTTGACACCAAGCAGTCCTGCCAATAGATGATATCCACATTGCGCGACTTCCGGATCTTTTGAAAAACAGTGGAATATAGCTGAAGATTCATTTCGTTGTCCAAACTATACGTACAGCCAGCGGAACAATACGAAACAACCATTTACAACAGCCAAACAAAACGGAAACGTATAATCCGACTTGCAACTGACAGGAGCCAAATGGACGTTTTTGTTTTATTGCCGTCCAGTAACAAGGTCACGTGACCCGTGCAAGTCCTCTATACTTTACCATACCCGGCTAGGGTCGGGCCTGCAAATTCAGTTATTTAGGCGGACTGGGGTCGGGTTCAATACCCTCGGGCCCATGTCGGGTCGGGCCTGCAAAACCAGTTAATTAATCGGGTTCGGGTCGGGTTTAATACCCACGGGCCCGTGTCGGGTCGGGCTGTAATTTTTGGGCCCGATCTTACCTCTACTTCTTACCGTGTTTCCCCGAAATTTAGACAGGATTTAGATTTATTTTCTTTTGAAGAATAACACTATGGTTTTTTTGGAAGAGGTCTTTTGAGTTAATTTATCAAAAATAAAATTACATTCTAGAAAATCACGAGATTTTTTAAAACATATAAAAACCGACACCCATTGTTTTTATTTGTATTTCGTATAGATAAATCAAATGACAAATATCATAGTTATAATTGTGACATCAAACAATCTTGAATAGTGGTGTAATCTTCACCTCACCTCAGGTCATTGAATTTTTCCTCTTCCACACATTTTAAATTTATTTTAAGGGTAGGGTTTAAATAAACTCATTTTTAAAATTCAAACTATGTCTAATTTTCGGGCCATGTCATATTTTCGAGGAAACACGGTAGTTTTACGATGATCAGCCATTGCTGGGTTCGGTGTTATGTCATAAAAAGTTAAGTAGCAACCCAGAACATATTACAAACTACCGTTATTGCTAGGCATACATGCGTTTCAAATCGGTAAGAAATCTTCATCAATGGTCAGAAGACCTTGTTTCGTTAGTTAATGGCCATGAAGAAAAAAACAGAAGCTATTAGCGAAATCAATTCATTAATACACAAACTTAGCACTTGCAAATGATGATTAGTGTGTAATTTCTTTTCAGGAAAAAAGAATGATAACCCATTATCAGCTGATTATGTCCCATCAATTATGGATTTCTCGTTATTCCCAGAAAAGTAAAGAATATTTGGAAGAAAAAAGGTGAATTTTGAAGGAAGGCAAGAGGCAGGGATGAGGTGTTGGAAAATTGAGCACAGTGTACCGTAGCTAATCTTAGCGAAATAAATGAAAAACAGAAGAAACAGGAATTTATGCAACAGAAAATCAGTGAAAGTGATATAAGTGAAGTTGACAATTTGACAAATAGAACAGCTGAAAGACAAACTGAAATTTTCGTAATTTTCCATCGACTGGCTTGCCCACAGTCAAAGTTTTTAAAGTTGTGATTGATATTCTGAAACTACTTCGTAAAGAACATGCATCGCTATCACAATTTCAACAAATTATGTTAGCTTGTATGCGTTGCAATATCACATTGCTGTTGTTACCATGAATATTTAATTTGTTGTTCAACTAAACTTGCCGCTTTAATTAAAAGCAGCCGCCCAAATCCATTTTCGCTAGAAGCACCATAACACTGTAAAAACTTGTTATAAATCACCCTCAAGGCATCATATCTTTCATTTGAAGGGGCTGTGGAGGTAAATACATTTTTGACCATAAATTATGGAATGTTATTCCAGGTGATCTTATCCTTGCTGATAAGATTTTGATGTTAGTGACTCTAAATCATTGTTTAGATCATAGGTTCCCAAAGTGCTCCGTACGGAGCCCCAGGGCTTTGCAAGAAAAACCCAGGGGCTCCACGAGCTATTCGATTACTTTTCAAAATAATGACTTGGCTAATTTTGTAACTGTTCAAAGAAGCAATAACAGCTTTGATAAAATTTGACAACAATTTGACAATGCCGTTTTTCAATCAAGAAATTTGGGTTGCGGATTTACCTCCTCAATATTAATTATTATTTTTATCACTTCGTCGCCGATGACTATATGATAACATGTTTTTCACATTGAACTCATAATTGCCCACGAGAATAAAAAAGCAATTATCATCGTCATTGTGGAACAATACATGTATATGCCGAAAAAAATTTTTGATGTAGGGAGAATAAACACCGGCGTAAAGATGTTTAAAAACACGCCATACTGACGAAAACTATCGGTGATTGTAACAAAATGCAATCGCGCACGTTGTTAGCGGCCTTCCGAAAATGTCAAAAGGGAAAAGTTTCGATCCCTAGTTTAATATGTTTCTCAAGGTTTAGCATTTAAATTAGGTAAAGTACTTTTAACTTACTCAGGAATATTAATCTGAA